GATGACATCCTACCATTAGCTTACATCATGTATTCTGAGCAAGGCAAGCTGGAGGCTTGACAGGACAGTGGTGAGTAGGATGTTTCCTTCTAGTATTAGCAGAGCATTAGATTGGTTTTGCTCGTTTATCTGTTCATATGCGTAGTGTGTCACAAGTGATGCTCTCTGAATTTGCATAATTGCTACAGATCTGTTAGAAATATGCTTTTTTAAAATTTAATGTTTGATAATGTCAGCTGTTAGTGTGACACAGAGGGCGTTCAGAGTTGCTAGAACCTCAATATTAAATATTTTTCAACTTTGTATATGTCTTTTGCTTGGTTTTAATTGAAACGTATGTAAGGTGTTTGTTTACAGTTCAATTTCATTGACTAATTTCTGAGTTGTGTTAGTAAAAGCATTGCAGTGTTTTTGGCTAGCACTTCAGAGACTTTATGAGCACATACAAAATGTTCATTCTGACTATGATCAGTAGTTACTATAACCTCTTGAATACCCACATATTTCAGCTGCAGAATGTCAGCTACAAGTTATAAATAAATTAAGCAATTTTGGAACCTGTGAATAACACTTAAGAGGGGAAATGATTCTTAAATCTTTTAATAAAGGTGCTTTATACACAGTTTTGTAGAAGCATACTAGCTGTATTTAAAAGCTGTGTACGTATGCATATCTAATACACGTGTGTGAACTGTGCTTCTTATTTAATGAAGAATGAATTCTAAGATTGAACAAAAGCCTTTGACCCTGCTTTATAGCTTAGAAAGTCTGTGTAGAAAACCTTAGGAAAACCATTGCTCAATTGGTCTGTTTGGAAAATGCTTTTAAGGATCCAATGTCAAACCCAATAATTCTCTTAAAATGATTGCATTTTGCCACAGGAAACATTTTTTCATTGACTTTAAGCTGTTAACAGAATTAAAGTGTGTTTCCTAGAAGGATGTAGGACTTAAATCTACTAACAGTGGTAAATGTATCCTCTTCTATTTTGGAAACTTGAAAAAAAGCCTTCAAAATGTTATATATTAAACTTTGAGGCTTAATCATTGCATTGAAGTTGCTAGTGACAAGTGGCCAATGGTTTAAAGAGCTGCTAGAAAGACGATCTATTTACGTTTTTTCACTTGCTGCAGTATGAAAAGAAAACCAAAGATGTACTAACTTGCTAACTTCAGTAGTAGATATATGAATACTTTTGATGAGTGCCTCAATAGTTTCTTTGTTGGGTTGCTTTTGTCTAATGTATCTTTGTTAGTACAGATGTAGATGTCATTCGGTGTAGGAAGACTAAATTTTGTTTTCTTTTTTTTCTTCAGTCACCAAAAAAAGCTTGATTATTAGAGTAATTCATGTTTAAAAAGGAATATGGGGTTTTCTAATGTTGAGAGAAAGTCTTTTTTATGCTTTAATATATGAATTCATCTATTGAAAATGCGATTACTACCTTGTTAAGGCAAGATTGAAGTGTTTGATATTGGCAGCTATCCAAATATATTCTCTCCAAATATGAGGGCTGCTCTGAAAGTAATGCCTCCTGTTTTATTATGTTGTCCCATGATATCAGAGGTTGGATGTTGAGTATGGCAGGGTATGGCGATAGATGTTGAACCTTCCCACCAATGTTCTGTTTAACTTTATAGCCATGTGGCAGATAGCAGCAGATGGGCAGTCTGATGTGGATGTGCATATGAAGCAGAGAGATGGGATTGATTTCTTCCAGGCAGAAAAAATGGCATCCATAGGTATTCACTGATGCTTGCTAAGTGATTATGGGAATCAAACGGTGGATGTGATTACAGTGAGGCAGTGAGTGGTGCTTTTCAGCAGTGGTGACAGCGATGTGAAAGACAAGCCACGTTTGAGATGGCCGTGCATAGCATGAAGAGAATCTCAATCAGCTCATCCACACGAATTGGCAGATTGTGAGCAAGAAACTGAATGTATGGAGCTGAATATCAGCTTCAGTGTGTTGGGAACAATGGTGGCAATATTGGAATATCACAGAATTTGCTCTGTGTGGGTCCCACAGATGCTCACAGAGGAACAGAAGGGAACAGTGTTCAAGGTTTTCAGGGTCAACTGAACTAACACAAGGCTGAAGGTGGCAGTTTTCTGGGTCACAACTTCATTAGTGGTGATAGTGGTGTCACTCCTACGAGCTGGAGATAAAACTCTATGGAGTGGCAGTATGTGAGTTCCCCCTTGAAAAAAAAGTTCAAGATGCAGCTCTCTGCAGGTAAAGAGATGTGCACTGTAGTTTGGGATAGGAAAGATGATTCTTCTGGATTTCCTGGAACCTGAACAAACCACTTCTGGCTGCTACATTGTGATGCTTTCTAAGCTGAAGGCTCAAACTTCCAGAGTCAGGCCAGAGGAGAAGACAACCTTTCTCTTGCAGCGCGATATTCTGTCCATGCTTCTCTCCATTTGTCAGAATTCCCCCATCAGAATCTCAGTAAGGATCTAATACAAAACAGTAGTAGTGGCTTGAGAAAGTAAGATTTTGTTTGAGGAATTTCATAATTACCAGCCCTGCTGGAGCTGTTACCCATGAAAGGAAGCTGAACTGGGAATTACCTATGCAGAGCTGTTTACCATATCGTGACTTCTCTGGAAACAAGGTGTCATAAACCAGATACCAATTCAATTGTTTAATTAACTCATTATCTATTTGAAGTTTCTTGTAGCTTCTTCCATCTCTGTTCCTTAACTGCAGTACGATATGGAAATTAAAGGAAATGAAAACAATTTATTAGACAGAATAGAGTAGACAAACTAAAAAGTCACAGCAAAAAAACAAACAAACAAAAAAACAAAAAGCAGACCTGCTCATACTTGCAACATGTGGGCAGTGATGGTGGTAGGTGTATTGTTGGACTAGATGATCACAGAGGTCTTTTCCAGTCTTGATTATTTTCTGATAATGCCAGACCCCATTCCAGTTTGAGACTGTGGAGCACGTTGCCAATCTTGCTTGTACTGTACCATCACATACACTGTATAGCCCAGATTTTGCACCTCCTAACTTCTGGATTGTGTGGGTAATGACATGGCCATAGCAACTGTGAGACACTGGGTCACTCGTCTGGCACTGATTTTTGTAAGCATGGTGAGCAGTTTCCTGTTCATCACTGGCAGAATTGCATAGCTAATGGTAGGGTCTGTGTTAAAAAAACAGTTTTTTGTGCTGAGAATTTGTTTTATCAAATAGTGTTATTGTGCTGTTTGTATCTGTTGTAGTTTCCGTAGAAATAAATAGGAGGCATTACTTCTGGAGCTTAATATATACACATATATGTAAGACTTGTTTTCAAGCAGACAATATCAACAGTACTCTTGAATAAGATTGACCTCTAAAGTTTTCAGAAAAGCCATGTGTAGAACATAAAAGAAACAGGCATTCATCACAAGCCTTCCTGATGCTACATTCTTGATACTTTTTTTTTTCCCTTCTATCTTTAAATCTTGATGGGAAGGACTGAGATATTTTCACTAGTGAATGATTTGAATTTAGTCTCTGCCAAGTGAACAAAATGAATTACATTTTCAAATGTCTTTTCTTGCTCCTGGTTGGTATTTGCAACAGTCTTGATAGAACACGACTGAACTACATGCAGAATTTGGAAAAACGAATGGAGGAATTTGATTTTCAGATTATGGGAGAATCTGAAACAATGTGGTGGGAGGCATGGAGGGTAGAGAGGGCGAGTGGGTGAGATCCATGTTGTTAGTCTGAACTAAATCCCGTTTGCTTTAGTCACAAGAACAGATAACACCATATACTGCTGACCTATTACACTATTTATTTTCAAGTGCTTATTTTCTATGAAGAGTTGCAGTAGAGATGAACAATACTTTCCACTGTATTTTACACTTACTGCTTTTTCAAGTATTGAACGTAATCTTGACCTTTATGCTACTTTTGTTATTTAAGTATAAGAAAGAGTTTTTATTTTGTTTTTGGTTTAGTTCATCTTTTTGTGTTGGAGAACAGTCTTAAGGTATTGGGGATGGACTTTGAGCGCACAAAGAATTTTTTTCAAGTCCTCCATTTATATACTAGAGCTCCTAAGACGCGGTGGAATATTTTTAATGCAGATAAATGTATGCTGAATGACATTATTTTGTGTTATGTTTGCCAGATTGGGGCTTTTCTTTGAATTCAGGAGAGATACTTCCATTAATGGTTCCAAGCTATTAGTCTTATTGGTATGGCTTTCTCTTCGAATACATGGAAAACATTGTTTGCTTGAATTACTGCACTGACATATGAAATGCAAAACTCGTAATCAGCCTCTGACCTCAGAAATGTGTCAAAATGAAGCTTTGTATTTAGCTTGGTGTTTTAGAGACATATCGAGTCATGTCTTCAGGCTATTAAATAATGGCTTGAAGTCATTTACTCCGAGCTGAATTTTTCTGTTCTTAATATTGTTTGCAACAAATGGAGTGAATCTGTTTATTTCTTCATTCCTTGAAGACAGAAAATATGAATGCAGGCTGTGGAAAACATTGCCATAGTACTATTTTTAACAGCAATATATATTTGTAGGAATTCTTGTCGTTTAACTACTCTTGAAAGACTAGAATAGGTTATTTAGTTTTAATTCACGGTTTTTATGACTGCTTGTGATGTATAGAGGCCTTTTTTTCCCCCCCTTGGAGTATTGAAACATTTCTTGAAACTACAATTGTAATAGTTATAACATCAGGAATTTTGCTTTAAGATGACATTTTTTTCTTAATATATTCTGAATGACATCCAAAAACACCTAATTATCTAGATTTGTTGTTTTTATACTAAGTTTGTTCTTTATAGTAAGCAAGAAGTAAGTTAAAGTTGGAATATTTGGTATTATTAATAGTAAACGGGAATTGAAATTAGTCTTATTTCTATAGTGTAAGTACAACTTTTTATTCTGCAACTGTTAAAAGTTCAATTGTCCAGTTAATGTTGTTTTGTTTCCTTTATATATCTTCCCTTTGCTTTTCTTTCTTAGGTCGAGATTTGATATGTATACAGTCCATGGATGGGATGCTAATGTTATTTGAACAGGAAAGCTACGCTTTTGGCCGTTTTTTACCTGGTTTTCTTCTGCCTGGTCCCTTGACTTACAGCTCTCGGACAGATTCTTTCATTACAGTGTCTTCCTCTCGACAGGTTGAGAGTTACAAGTATGTGTTCATATTCAGTTTTCAATTATTCATATTATTCAATTATTGCATATTTTGGTGCTGTTATTTAGTATGTAAACAAAAATAACCACATGTAATTTTTTATTATCTTTGCTAAAAAAGCAAACTGTTTCCTGTATAATTTGTAGTCACGTTAATTTTATAATTATTCAAGTTTGTTACATTATTGAAGACTCATCGCACAGTCCTGCAAGTGCTAGACTCCTAGACTCTCCCTTTTCTTGGTTCTGTCTAATTTTTCCATTCCATTTTGTCTGTACTGTACTGCTAAAGCAAGGTGATCGTCCCTCCAAACCCCATTTTTTTCTTTTCAGTGAAACATTTTATTTTGCTGCAATATTTGTTAATCTGTTCAGTTTTTAGAAGAGATTAGTGGTGATGCTTTGAACATGAGATCTTCTTAAGGCAATAAGGGCTGGTGGGGGGAAGTGGAGTTCACCTGTCAGTAGAGTCTTGATAACCTCGTGGATTGAGGGATAGGTGCCAAATACTTCAAGTAAATGGTGGAATTGGAGATGAGGGCCAAATGCTCAGCAGGGAATGCTTTCAGAGTTCCTTAAAGGAAGTGTGATGAGCGGAGGCCCATCTTAAGTACATGTTCACAAACACAGCCTGGGCAACAAAGACAAGGAGCTAGAAGTCGTGTGCAGGTGCAGAGCTTACTGCATTTAGAGCAATGCTGGCTTTGCCTCATCTTTTCTCCATTAAAACTGATAAGGTCTGCTCTTAGGCCTTCTGAAATTTTATGGCTAACAATAAATGTGGGGTTGGTGAGTGGTGGTGGAGAATTAGCAACTACAAGATGGATGAAAATGTGACAGAACTGTCAGACTTCCAGAGTAGCCGTCGATTCAGACTAACAGCCTTAAATGAATGATGTTCCTCAGGAGGCGGTGTTGCAGCCACTATTTCTTTAACACCCTCATCAAAGACCTGAAATATAAGAATAAATGTCCTGAAATGCAAGGATGATGCCAAACTCTAAAAAATGATTAAAAAAAAAAAAAGAAAAAAAGAGGGTTAGGGCAGAAGCTATATTGCTTGTCTAATTCTGAACCAAGTCTGGTAAGCTGTTGACTATCAACTCCACAACTGTTAGTAAATATTTAAATGTGTCTTGAAAGACAGATTGGTTCTGCATATTTTAAGACTGCAAACAAATGATACTGTGAAATTTAGGAGCTCGCAGATAATGCTCCTTCTGAACAGATATCGTAGCCCTGCTATTTTGATCAACAATACTGATCAGTTATTACTATGTCATCTTCCTACCACCAGCATTTTCCATATGAATACAATGTGCATTTCAGTACTATGAATACACATTTCTCTATGTAGCTTTTGAAGAATATTCTTCTAATCTTAGAATAAGATACTAGCTGCCTTCTTGATCATAACTGAAAATAACAGTTCTGCCTTTTCAGAAAATGTGTCCATATTACCAGTTTGGGAAAATTATGGCAAATGGCATCTCATTCTTTCATCATGAAGATGATAAATGGATGATGCTTTATTCTTAAAATTCTATTTGTAGCCTCACTAAGTATTGAAGCACTGTTGTGTTGCTTGAACACACAAGAAGGTAGGATCCCACATTGACTCCTGGGATATACCATTTGTGCAAGTCTCCCTGTGGACTTTGTGGCACTGATTGCCACCTTCTGAACCTTTCAGTTCGACTAGTTTTGAGTCTACCTCATTGTTGACTTATGTAGCTTGTACATCAACTTATATAAGAAGTTGTTTTAGAGTACGGCATCAAAAGTGCAATTGCAAGCTTGTTCCTTAGACTTATGCAACCTTCTGAGTCTCTGGTTAATATTTTGAGTTTGCTTTACTGCTGGGAACGTCTTCTACTGCTAATTCTGGTAACTATTCTCTGCGGTAGAGCAGTCTTAAGCAGTAGAGAACTTGGAAAGCACTCAAAACACTGAACTACATGGGAAACACTGAAAACACTGGTTGTTGCCTTCCTAAAATGTCTTTCAGCATCTCTTCCCTCTGTGTTACGAAGAGATTGCTTTACTTGATCTCCACTTCTTTTTCTGTGAAGCTGCATTAATTTTACCTTCACAGGCATTTTTTTTACTTTCTGGTTTTAGGTACACTAAAACACTTGACTGAGAAACAGATGCTACTAAAAATTTCAGAGTGGAACAAAAACATTACTATGCATCCACCTTAGATATCTCTGTGAAATAATGTTGAAATGAATGCAGGAGAAAAAAATTCTTCTTTATTTTGTGAAAAAGTTTGAATGCAGTTGTCATAAATCTTTTTCCTGAGCTTAAGTTATTTTGCTTCCAGTACTGGGAGAGGCCAAGTGGAATGCCCAGTCTTTGTTACCCATCGTGGCCATTTTCTTTCTTTCGCTTTTTATTTTCACACTGGCTGCAATTATCATTATTCATAGGCTGCACTGGGACTTATATTGACTACAACATAATGTAGAGCACTTAAGGAACCATTCTAGTACTTTGTTTGGAGGCAAATTATTTGCAAAGTGTAGCTTCCTGGAAATATATGGAAACATTGTATTTTTAGTTTTCATTTTCTACCTAAAATAAAAATGGCGTTTTTCTGATTTTCTTTTATCAGAAGGGCTCTTGTTCATGGTGTGAAAGGGAAAAGGTGTGCTGAAATAAGTATATTAAAAATGCAAATACCGCTTCTTAATTATTATTTACAAATTACTCTTTAAGAATTAATCCAGGAAATGTTAGTCTAACATAATACTTATTGTCATGTAGTATTCTACATTATCACCTGAATTTCTCAAGCAATACTGTCTTTGATTTATTCTGCTAAAACTTAGTAAGATGTTTTCAGATTCTAGATATTGCATGAACACATTACAGACATTGTGTTAATAATCTGGGAGAGAGTAGATGGACTGGGGGGACTGGAGCACCTCCCCTATGAGGACAGGCTGAGGGAGCTGGGCTTGTTCAGCCTGGAGAAAAGAAGGCTGCGGGGTGACCTCATTGCAGCCTTTCAGTACCTAAAGGGAGCCTACAAACAGGAGGGGAGTCAACTCTTTGAAAGGGTTGATAACAGCAGGACAAGGGGAAATGGTTTTAAGCTGAGGGAGGGGAGATTTAGGTTGGTCAGGGGGAAATTCTTTACAGAGAGAGTGGTGAGGTGCTGGAACAGGCTGCCCAGGGAGGTTGTGGATGCCCCGTCCCTGGAGGTGTTCAAGGCCAGATTGGATGGGGCCCTGGGCAGTCTGGTCTAGCATTAGGAGGGATGGTTGGTGGCCCTGCATGTGGCAGGGAGTTGAAGATTCGTGATCCTTGAGGTCCCTTCCAACCCTGGCCATTCTGTGATTCTGTGACTGCAAATAAAGGTACTTTTCAAATATGGTGGAGAAGACTCTGCAGCCATACCAGTCAGCTCCCTTCAGACCTCTGGGATGCCATTTGTACACATTCAGCATCATGAGGTGGTCCCACACTTGTTCTTCTCATACAGTGAAGGGGATTTTGCTTTCCCATCCCCTCTTAGAGATTCAGGGATGTGAGTTTCATGGATTTGAGAAGCCTGGCTGTCTGTGAAGACTGAAATAAAGAACTCGTTGAATGCTTCAGCCTTCTCCATGTCTGTCAGTTTTCCCTTCCCATTTATCAGAAGGAGTGTACACGTACTCTCTTTGGCCTGTCTCTTCTGACCAACGTTCAATCTGTAGAGTCCCTTGTTATTTTTCACATCTCTCATCAAGTAACTGTGCCTTGGCCTTCCTGATCTCATCTCTGCGTGTCTCGATAGTGTCCCTGAATACAGTAGTTTATTTTAAAATTTACTGAGGGATTTTTTTTTGATTTTTTTTTTTTTTGAATTGCTATATTTCAGCTTCACAAATTGAAAAGATGCTGATTTCTTGCATCTGTCTCTTTAGTAAGATATATCCATCCATATCCATCCTTTAGTATATTTAGCTGTTGAATTACATTAACATCACAGAAAACCTGAGTAGAACCCTTGTTCTAAATTCTGCCTTACACATAGTTTTTATTCTACAACGATGTTTATTCTAACATCTTTCCTGATTATGGTTGTGCTACTGTAGGCTTTCGGACAATCCTTTTTAGGTTCTGCTTTTGCTGTGTATGTATGCTCAAAATAGGGTAGTTCTATTTTATTTTTACTTAGTGTAAAGGTTTTAACTACAAAGGCGTTGTATTTTGTTGTATTACTTTTCTTTTTAAACTTCCTATAACAGATACCAAGTGCTGGCATTTGCAACGGATGCTGATGGAAGACAAGAAACAGTACAACAAAAACTTAGTTCTGGAAAGAAACTTGTGGTAAATGCTATTTATTTTACATAACCTATATGAATGTGGCTTGCATGCATCTGAAAAAGACCAGTGCTAAGTAATGAATGGAAACATTATCTGGTGAGAAAGAATCCTATCCAGTTGCTTTTAAAAGGCAGCAGAAAGTCTCCTATACATTTCTATTAGGATTTCATTGAACCTTAGCTGTTTCAGTTTGGGCCTTAATACTTGCTGCTGTTCTCAGAAAAACAACAAAAAAAGCACTAAAATTGTATACTGTAAGTAGCTATTTCTCAGAGAGGTCTTTGCCTTTCCAGCACAAAATCTAATGTGTGGTAATTCTAGACTGTATTTCTGACTCTATATTCAAGTGATGAAATTAATCTAGTTGTACTCAGAGAGTCCTTTGTACTTTAACAGAAAACTCAGCACTGAAAACTGTTTCTATAAATAGTCAGTATCCTGGTCTCTTCTTTCAAAAACGTGTTAAGTCAGTGATCTTCAGGAGAGCCTTGTGGCTAGTAAACTGCTTAATAATCAACCTACCTGTTACTGAGAGGAGGAGAATTTGAGTCTCTGCTTCTTTTTAGAACTGTTTATCCACATGCTCTACTATGCAAAATGCTGGATTTAGCTTATTTCAAGTATAACAGTAAAATATAGGGAGAACATTTTCCTTACATTGGTTAGTAGTAGAATGTTTTCACACTAAGTCAACCAGAATCTTATACTTTGAATTAGGAGAAGGCATAATTTTTTAATAAGAAATTTAGAAGTTTCCTCAAACATACTGTAAATAATTTTTTAAACGTGATTTGAGAAGTATACATTGTGGCAAAGATAATGTTTTCCTTTCAAAGTGACATTTCCAGTTTTGTATATGAGGCATGCCACTGTGTTTACCAATGCATTCTGTTCTAAAGCAAAAAGATTGATGCTGTTAATTTAGGAAGTGGTGACATTTGAATGGCTTTTGATTTCAGCAATTCTGAATCTACTTAACCAGCATGGCAGCATCAAAAGCAATTTTTGCATGTGTGAGTTAAAGTTTTTCAAAGGAGCTGAAATTAATGAAAGCTATTAATAAGCAGTAATATTGCTTAAACGTGCAAGGACGTAGGCAAGGAAGGATTTTGAAATGGTCCTTCATTATATCAGTGCATGTAGTTGGAGAAGCAGGTAAGCTTTCGTCTGCAGAACCATTCTTCAGGTTGAAGGGTGTACATTATTGGCTGCAAGTATGTATGTGGGCTTCAGCACCGTGAATTCTATCCATGTTTCCAATTATACATTGGTAGAATAGGTTATCACCTTTCCTCCCTAACACTACCCTAAGGACGTGTACTGGGGCAGATTTAAATTGTTTTATTACTCTGTTTTTAGAGAATTTTAGACCTTGATTTTTCTTTCCCACTTATGCTACTGATACCTTTATAGCTTGATGAATTCTGAGCTTTCTCTGTGTGTTTTTGAGTTTTTCTTAAATGTGCAGCTGTCAGCTGTGTATTTTCTTCTTTTTTTCTTTTAAAGGTGGATTGGGTTCTCAACATTGGAGAACAAGCACTGGATATATGCATTGTCTCCTTTAATCAGGCAGTTTCTTCTGTTTTTGTACTTGGTGAGAGAAGCCTCTTCTGCCTGAAGGATAATGGACAAATTCGCTTCATGAAAAAGCTTGATTACAGTCCAAGTTGCTTCATTCCTTATTGTTCAGGTTTGTAAAATTCAACTTGAAACTTTTAGTTTTGTTACTTCCCTAGCCTTTTTTTTTTTAATCCCACTGATGATATATTCTTTTAAACATGCTATTTGTTATAGAAAAGCTACAAAATAAAAGCTGTCTGCTTCTTAGATTTATTTTTTAATATTGTCAATCTGAAATACCATGACTTTTGGAATCTAAGAAGCTTATTTTCTCATCATCAAATATGATGTGTGTTTTAGTGTTTCAATAAATTTGCCCAGGCTACCAAGTCACCAAACGTGGAAGTATGAGAGATAAGTGTTAGAAAACCTTCTGTTATTCAATGAAAGCTTTTCAGACATTAATATAGAGTAGGTTAACATGTTCTTAAGACTTGTAAGTTTTGTAGTAGATCTAAATTGCTTCTCGATTGCTTTCTGATTTTCGTTATAAATAAAACATTTAAATGTATGAATCAGTTCAGTGAATTAATGAAGGGTAATTAACTGATGTTATTTAACCACGTGTGTTTGTCATACTGGCATGCCAACTTGATAATTACAAGTCTTTATTATTCATATCTTATGTTATAAAACACATCTGGCTAGAACCTTGAGAAGTTTTGGCTTGTATGTTGTATGATTGGAATTGATATTCATAATTAATTACATACATTCTTGATTATTGTCAAAGTAACTTTCATAATTTTTAACGCTTAAAAATTCTATAGATTTATTTAAAGCAAGTGATATCTTAAAAGGAAATAAATAAATAGTTTGGTAGTATGTAACTCCAAAAAAGAAAGTAATGGCTTATGATAATAGCTTTCATTTTTAAATTGTTTTTATATTTCTAACAGTGAAAGAAGGAACAATAAACACTCTAGTTGGAAACCATAGTAAAATGCTGTATGTTTATCAAGATATTACACTGAAATGGGCCACTCAGCTTCCCCATGTTCCTGTATCTGTAAAAGTAGCCAATTTACAGTAAGTTACTTCTTGAAATACTTTCCCAGATTCATTTTTAGTAGTGAAACTTGCTTGTAGATCCTAACAGGTGATTCTGAGGTATGTAACAAATAAGGCAACTTCTAAAATGAAAATTCAAAATGTTTGTTGTGTAAAATATTAATTTTGTAGTGGACCTACTAGAATTTCTGTACTGTGCTTTAGACTTTGATTTGCATGAGTAAAAATGGAAATTGATCTCTCATACTTCTAATGAAGTAGTTTCTTTTTTGAAAGAATGAAAAATTAAACATGGCTATCTGGTAAGATCCTTCCCTGAGACAGAATAATAAGGATGCTCACTGAAAATCTGTTCTTCATTAAACATTTGAGAGCATATGAATTCCAGACGTGGTTTGCTGGAACAGATTGTTCAACTCCAATGTTAAACTATGGAAATTAGTTTAAGGAACTGGTTAAAATGCAAATTGCACTGCAACGAACCAAAACTTTTTGTAGAATGTGCTTACGACAGACAGGACAGGGACAAACCTGTCAGATGCAGGATGAACTACTGAGAAATGATGACAGTGCTTATTACTTGTACCAACTTTGTCACTGAAATGAGAAGCAAACTACAGAAAAGTTCTGCCAGTGCTTTTATGATCCAACTTATGCTTAATGGTGGGGAATGTACCAGAGACATGGATGGTACTGGCTTCCTATTGTTTGCGATGATCGAGAAACGCCGTGTCCTTTTAGGATACATTTCTTCTATGTCAAGCTTATGGCTGTCATGACAACATATTTGGATTGTTGAATAGTTACTTGATCACTAGTTTTCTATCTTATCACAAAGTCTCATAATAAATGAAAGTGTAATATTTGACTTATACAGAGTAGAAATGTGTGAGGGATGTTGGTGTTTTTGACTTGGTGCTAAAGGTTATTAGATTATTTTTAAATAATTTATAATTTAAAATCTTAATTTTTTTGAAGACTCTCTGAAAAGAGCTTTGCTGGTTTTCATCCAACAGGTCTTAAATTAAGACTGTGACAAATCACATCTGTGATCTAATCGGTATAAAACAAAAAATATATATATGCAGGATGTTACAGTATAGCTTTTGTATTTGGAAAAAATAGTGTCAGCAGAAAAAAATTGAGGAAGACATTGTGGTTTTTTTCAACAGCATACTGTACTATCATTGGTATATAGAATTATTTACATATTATTCAAATATTTGTGGAGGTCCCTTCCAGCCCCTACAATTCTGTGATTCTGTGACTAAGAAGTTTTAGGGATGTGGTTTAGTGGGCATAGTGAGGATGGGTTGATGGTTGGACTAGATTATTTCAGTGGTCATTTCCAAGCTTAATGATTCTGTGATTGTGTAATTCTAAGTTTGTGCAGATTCTACTTGTTCTGCTTAATATTTAACAGTCAGTAGTTTGATCTTGTTGAGAATTTTGAGAGCATGCTAATTTATCCTAGATTATTTTGTTAGTTACAGGGCCAAAATTTCCATACACCTATATATTATTATTACTATTATTATTATTATTTTCCTCTGGAGGATATAGACTGCAGTCTAGTCATACAAATCTCTTTTTATACAGATACTGATAAATGAAGGACTGTGTATATGTCTGTGTAGACCCCATGACCTGTATGGCAGAAGTACAGGGCATATGAGTTTCAATGCTATGCTTGTAGCTTTCTGTTTGAACATATGCACTATGCTTGTATTTCATGCTGATGTTTAAACTAAAGATAAGCTAAACAGCAAGAGAACTGCTGTAAAGCTTACAGAGATAATAATTTGGTTTAAACAAAGGTTATGCTTAAAAAAAATTAAAAAAAGGAACTTCAAAGAGGATTCTCATTTTATGTGAGTCAGTATAATAATTTTCCAATACTTATTCCACTCAAGAGGGGCCTCAATCTCAGCTGGAGCCTCTGGGCACTACTGTAACATAAATGACATTAAGTCTCTTAATTACCATAGAGTTGTTAATCCTACACTGCTGAGAGATGGAAGTGCCTTTAAAATGACCTCCGTAAATGAATTATTTTCACGTTCTTTCTGCTTTTATTGCGATACTTGCTAGGTAAATGGAGCATTCTGAAAGCAGTTGTCTTTACAGATCATGCATGTTCATCTGCTTACTGTGTGTGGCTCTGGCTTGTTGGATAAGGAAAGCAGTATTAGAAGATATTTTATGTAAATTCCCTTGGGGCAAGGTTAGTGTGATTGCTTCTCTAATGGCAGTCATGCTTTATTCTGTAATCTTGATAGTTTGCCTCTAAGACCAGCCTTTCACATACTTTAGTGTATGCCAAGTAAGTAAGTTTGGTTTTATTGTGTGCCCCTCCGTATTTTTTACGATTTCATTTTTCCTGTTACAGTAAAGCAAAGTGCAGTAGCAGTATGTAAATAATGGTAATAACAGACTGCAACCTTTGGGATTAAATTCCAGGACTAACTGCTTTACTTCTACCATTCCATTTTCAGAAGCATACAGGGGAAAAAGCAGAATCAAAGTGGTTACTAATAACGTTTTTGCTGAGGTGTGTGTGTGTAATCTAAAGATGATGTATTTTTGAAGCTGTTGAACTAGACATTTGGCCTTTCTTCTGTTGTAAAAACCTGAGTGTTACCTGATGAAGAATTGAAGATGAAGACTTACTATAAAAACTCTTAATCAGAATATTGAACTACAAGCAAAAAATTGAGGTTTTATCTTGCTCTAGGTTTTACCTGAAGATCTCTATGGAATTTTCAGTTAGATGACTTTTTTAAAGTTGGGGGAATCCTGCATGCTTAACACTGCCTGGATTGCTTCAGTTGTAACCACTCACACTGAAAATTTGGATTAATTTATACTACCTAGAGCTATGTCTTAGTGCAAATTCATCTTCCCAATGGTAAGCCTGCTTGGAAGGTTTCATGCATCCTGTGTTTTTCTTGCAGCTACGGCTGTTTAAAAGTATTCTCCCTGAGGCTGAAACTCTTTGGAAAAATGGTCTCGTTGTTCTGCCTGAGTTAATTTACAAGTGACAAACAAAAGAAACCCCCCAAAACAAAGCAAGACACAAAACAAAAGCAAGCAAACCACGCTCTTCTAGAGGGTTTGAAGAGAAACTGTCCACATGCTACGGTTAAACAGGGAAATCACACGAATTGCAAGAATTTCCATTCCACTCTCATTTTCAGTGTTGAAATAGCAACTGTGAGTGCCAGTGTTTGCTTGGTATCCACTGTAGTTGCACAAGTATCTCCTTTGCAGTGACTTCAACTCATATTCCCTCTTTCTTTTATGCTTTCATTTCCCTTTGTTTCACTGGAGAGACCTGTTTTCCAAGACCTTCAATGCACCTGAAGATCTCTCTTGCTGAAGGAATTTCATTAGCAATCTCTCTCTGTTTTTAGATTTGATTTAGTCACTTTTTGGTGCTTCCTAAGCCAAATCACATTTCACTCTCACACTCTCCCATAATTCAGGTAGTTATCTGGGGGGCAGGTCCATAGGATTGCGCTTCTGACAAAGCTGTTTAAAGTTCCTGTCAGCTCAAATGCCTCATAGGAAGGTCATTTTTTTGCTTCTACCAGGGAGTAGAGCCTTGTAAAGTCAGTCAAGTGTCTTTATCCTACCCGTACCAGAAAGGTGGGTCATGTTTGTCTGAATCATCTGAAATAACTTTTTGAGGAAGTAGCAGAAAGTAACTTTTTAAGGGCTTATTAGAGGTCGTATTTGTTTTTCTGTGCCTGAATTATCCCGTCTCCGTGTGCTTGACCGTAAAAGGTCCTTGGAGTGGATTAAAATGCTTAGAGCATCCACTTTTCTATTTATTTGACACTAATTCACTTGGCAAAGCTGATCCTAAGAGTACCATGTTTTAATGGCGGATTGATTGTACTAAGTATTCTGCTGACCTGGGCGACCTGAAACTAGAACATTGTGTTAAGGTGCCTTCAGTCTGAAGCAAAATAGCTCATGTTGCTAGCCTCAGGGATGTTTCCATCACAAACATCTGAATTGCCACTGTGAGTTCAGTTAAAACCACATAGATAGAGCATTATAGCTTGGATATGATCTCGGGAAAGGGATTTCTGTTTTGATCACTTCCAAGTTAGAAATCTGTTTTTGCAATAGGAAAGCACGAGGACTCCAAATCTAGGGCTTTGTTTTTTGTTTCTGATTTGTTTTTCTGTTGGCTAGTCTTGGTTTTGATTGTATTATTCATCCTTCACATTTAATCTGATGAGCCTGTGAATGCTGAAATGTGGCCCATTTTTTTTTTCTTTTAAATTGAAATAGACTTAGTGAAATATATATATATTAATATTTTTCTATTTTTTTTTTTCCCAAGAAGGTATTGCATGTTGCTCCTATTTTACATTTTCTGTGCTCTCCTTCTAGAAATGAATCCTAGTAGTACTTTTAAGAGGGGGGGAAAAAAAGAGTTGGTTTGGTGTGGAATTTATTACAGACATCCATTTTTTAACAGAAAACCAGCCATCAGTGTTTAGGAAACGTATTTCAGGAAAGGTCACGTTTTCCCTTTCTTATCTATTTGGATTCTTCTCTAGGCACCAGTTTATCAGTGAAATTTATAATTAAATGAGGGATAATTTTACCTTCAGATTCATTAGAATTTGATTAGAAATGCCCCAAGGAAAAAACATTAGCCTCGCCTTTACTGCTTGTCTGTAGGTTATTGAATGATTTGCATATATGATGCCTCTTGTTTTTAGGAGCTTAATTTAATCTGGAGATTATATTATGGGAATGAATTCTATGTTTTGTGAGCTTTTATATGTACTGTGTCTGTGAGCAAAAAGACTACATTTCATGCAAGATGGATTGTTGTAGGAAATAACCCACAATATGGTATGTGTGCCTTGTAAAATATTCCTTTTATTATGAGGGGCTGACAGGTATGGGCAAGTTGGTGAAAGTTACTGCAGTTACTTGCTTTTACTTTCATTTATTTGATAGATGCATATAATTTTACTTGGTTATGGAACAGTTTT